TTCCCATTCTTCAGCATTGTTTGTGTTAGTTCTCAGTGGGGACAGCCATCCCTGCTTGTTCCTAAAGGCTAGAGTAGATCTAAGGAAGAAATTCCTCATGATGAAGGTGGTTGGATAGTGGAACAGGCTGCCCAGAAAATCTGTGACTCTTGCAAGCTGACAGATCTCATCCAACGAGGTTAGGGGATGGGTGACTTGGTGGGAATTAGCTGAGGGCCTGGGTGAACTGGATGCTTGGTCAGAGTGTGCTGGGTTTGCGGTGCAGCAGCACATTCATGTGAGTTTTGCCTTCACTCAGAGATGCTAGTGAAGGTCTCCACCCCCTGCAAAAATTTCAATAGCTTACCTATGAGTTTTTAAGTCACCCTTGCTCTCTAACATAGGTGCAATAATTTGCTTATCTTTCTAAAATGTTTTAATATTTTTATCTTTACTTGTTTTTCTTTTTTAAACTCTTTTCACTTCTTATAGACTGGTATCTGATTATTGCCAATAAGTTCAAGCTAGTTTGTGATCTTCTGATCTCATCTGCTGTATCAGCTCAGGCCTTGCCAGGGCAGTTCATGGAAGTTTATGTGTGTCTAAGGACGTCTAGCCAGTGACAGTGGAGTTCACGGGAGTTCGCCCTGCTGCATGTGGCCTCTCTGCTGCTAGTTCATGACTCCGTCACCTTTTCTGTAAAGTTCTTCTGTTCCTGGGAGGAAGGGTTCATTTCTCAGTTCTGCCCCACAGTTTGTATATTTTAGGCAAAATATTCCCCAGCAGAAATATTTTCAAGGTTTCTCTCTCTCTCTTTCTCTCTCTTTTATTTTTAATCAAGATGAAATCAGTGTATTCCAAATATCCCCACCCCCGGCAGACACACTGAGGATTTACAAGGCAGGAAAACTCAGACAATTAGTCACACCGACCTTTGCCCGAGGGAAGCCATGGGCATTTTCATGTCATCCAAGTGACACTATTTTCTGGGTGCTTGCTTCTACTTGCAGAAGCCGTGAGTACGCAGGGCTGGTTGTTCCTCTCCATCCACGTGAAAGTGCAGGGAAGCCAAGCTCAAAGCCCCTCCCTCCATCTTCTCCAGGAACTTTGTCTTAAATCCTTTGGTGGCAGGCATTTGGGATTTTCAAATAAAGGGCTAACAGCTTTGCCTCTTCTTTCTAAAATAAAGCTTAAGCTTGAAGAAAATAGCATAACTGTGCAGATTCTCTTGCAGGCTTGGTGTCTGCTCCTTTTCTTCTTGGACCTTGGTTCAGAAGGTGACACTGCCAGTGCCACCCCTGCCCACTATGCAGCCAGCACTCCTCTTCCACAGGATGCTCCGTGTGGATATCCCTGCTGTCTGCAGATGCCTTTTGGCTTCTGGGGACAGTGTGTCAACTGTGGTACACCTCTGTGAACAGCTGATCTGCACAATGCTGCAGGCTGTAGCCTTGGCTCTCATCTTCCAAGAGGTTGGGAGCCAAAACTGGGGAAGGGAACTTAACTGAAACTGTTCTCAGCACAGGTATTGCTGTGGTGAGTCGACAGCACTCCAGCTGTTTTTTCAAATCGAGTTTTCTTCAAGTACCTGTAAATATTTTTCCTATTGGCATAAACAAACTATTGGTGAGTTAAAATTTAATGAAAACTGTCTCTTTAACTCCAGAGTACTTTATTTATTTGTTTTCGTTATCCTAATTATCAGCAAATAATCCAGTCGAGTACACCATTCAGGTGTTCACAGTGGCTGTGAGACTTGGGCAAGGTTTCTTGGCACACCTCTCCATATGACATCAGTTTCTACAGAGATCACAGGCTTATACAGCAGTCCACATTAGAAGGGACTTTGAAAGATCATCTGGACCAGCCTTTTGTGGAAAAGGGTGCTAGCTGAGGTTGAAGCTTCCCTCCCTGCCAAAGTCCAAATGTTTTCCCCAGTGCCTCTCCACCACGGCTGTCCAGTGCCCAGGAGGTGCTGGGGAGGGCACGAGTAGTTCATGAGCGCTGCTCAAAAGCAGGCAGCCTGTCAGGATCCATTCCCTCAATCCCAGCTGTGCAAAGCTGCTGAGAAGGTCTTGTGCTTTGTGGAGCAGTACTTTTAGTCCGAGAGCAGAAGGGCTGACACGTTGCAAGGGAAAGACTGTATGTGCGAGGGTGTGAGATGCATTGCAGTTATGGGCAGGCAGTGGGTACTGGCAGGCAAAATGTTCCCTGGGATCACGGAGGTTCACCCTTATCTGTGTTTCTGGGCCATTTTAGGCTTCCCAAAGGAAACCAGTCAGCTTCTGAGGGTCAATGTCCCACAGAGTGTATGGGCCTGTCACCCAACAGCCTGCCCTGGAACAGTCCTGCAGCTATCCCCACACAAGCTGCACTGCAAAGAGGGCTGCAGTCCAGAGTTGGGAGTATTCAAGGGCATCGCCTCTTTTTGCTTGTGCAAAGCTCCCTGAGCTTCCTAGTTTTCCAGAGGTTTCATGTGGAGCATTGTTCTGTGCTTCCATGTCAGCACCCTGTGTCTAGCATTTGAAGCAGTGGCACCTTTAAAAGAGAAAAAGAGCATTGACACTTGGCTTTTTGCACTTCTGTGGTGTAATAAGTAATCAAAGCAGCAGTAGGGTCCATGGGGAAAAGAAGGTACATCTCCTGGATGGGCACATCTCCTGGATTCTTCTGGTGATGGGAAGAAGTCAGGGTCAGAAAAGGAGTTTGAAGGCTCTTCTGAGGCTCCAGAGTAAATTGCACAGATGAGCCACGCTCAGCTCTGTGATGTGAACGCAAACACGTCTCTTGACATAAGCTCAGCTCCTACCTGTTGGTTTGCTGGAAGGGATGCAAACAGCCTGTGACCAATTCAGAGCCAGGTGAGAGCAATAGAAGGTGTTAAACTGCTGGGCTGGGTCCACCTGGACACGCCAGGAACTGGTGGTCCCAGCTGGCTCCACAACTTAAAAGGCCAGACTAGGAGCAGGTGCTTCATGGTCCTCAGCAGGAGAGCAGGATGGGTGTTGTAGGGCAGGCTAGGCCTGTGTGTGGAGCTCTGTTCTTCTGGGGGTTGCTTGGTCCCTTTGCTTTGGTTGTGGGGTCTCAGGGTAGCTTTCTTGATGAACCTGGCCTGCTGGCTTGTGGTCAAGATAGCTTGCAGCTCACCTTACCCGTGGGCTGGGAAGGGAATGTTTCCTTTGTGCTGACTGCTTGGGGTAAGTGAGAGCGATGTCAAGGGGCCTTCTGGCTGCTGCTGTCTTTACACAGTGCAGAGGTATGGCTGGAATGAGAAGAGAAGGGCTGGCTATGATGTGAAGTGCTAACAGCTTCGGTGCTTTGTGCATGACTTGGGAGCTAATGATAAGACCCAGCCCTCATGGGCAAGGTTTAGGTGGCCCTGGCTGCTGGGTTCCCTTGTGTTCCTCTGCTGGTTGGGCCCCTGTTTCCTACAGAAAGTTGGGGTTATTGCAGGTCCCTGTCTTTGGTGGCATGCTGAAGCCCCTGCTGCTGTCTGCTTTTCCTCTAGACACTGAGGGGAAGGCACATGCCCTGCACAATGACTCTGGCTGTGGGCTCTGGGTTTTGGGGGCTCCAGATGGCTCCAGGAAAGTGTCAGTCTCCTACACCAGCTGCTATGTCTTTGAATGGGTGAGTGACCCCAGGGACCCTGCTGGGGCTGGTCTTTACTGCTGCTTTGGCTGCCCTGACTGGTGTGGTTCTCCCCCAGGATGGCAACTACCTCATGATTGTGGGGCTTGAAGGCACAGATGCAACTGGGCAAAGGGTTCTTCAGGAAGAGAAGCTGCTCAGGTGCCCTGTGGACCTTCCTGGTAAGACTCTGACAGCTCCTTAGGAAACCCTGCCTGTGCCTAGTGGCTGCTCCAAGTCAGCCTGGGGTTGGGAAGGGGAGCTCATGGCTGCCCAGGAGACTCCCTGGGGAAGGATGCGGATGCAGGAGCCCAGCTTGCTGGGCACTTGTGCCTCAGCCAGCTCTGGGCCATGTGTTTGACTCTCACCTGAGTCCTTGAAACTTCCCTTGACTTATATGCAGAGTCATCAGGACAGCTTACACCGCTGCCCTCTGTGTTTTTGTCACACACACACATACCCCTACTGTTCCTGTGCTCTTTCTGAAAACTTATGCTACCTCTTGCAGCCCTGGATGCCCCAAGCAGCAGTGTCTGCTCTGCTGTCCGCAGCCAGGACCGGCTGCCCTGTGCCTCCTCCCCTGTCAGCCAGGGAGACTGTGAAGCACGGGGCTGTTGTTACAACCCCAGGGACAGGGTGAAGACTTGCTACTATGGCAACACGGGTAAGTGTAGGCCCCTGTTCTCCCCTCCTGGAGGAGCTGCTGGCTGGGAAGCTTCCTTTCCTTGGCAGAGCAGGGTTGGTGCATAGCAGGCCCACAGGTGGCTTAGGGTTGTGGTTTTGGCTGTCAAGGATACTGCCTCATGGAAGTGTCCAGTCGCTTTGATTATTGCAACAGATCTGGCTTTAGGGCCAGGATCAGTGTTACTGTGGGGCACAAGTCTGTAGAGCTGGCTGCAGTTGCACGTTGTTGTGCTCAGTGTGTGCTCTGGGGATTAGAGGCAGGAGGACCTGCAGTACTTGCTGCTCTTGTCTCTGCTGTAATGTGTAGGGCTGTTTCTCCCTGAACTCAAAGCTGACTGTTTTCCTCCAGTGACAGCTCACTGCACACCAGATGGCCAGTTTTCCATTGCTGTCTCTCGGGATGTGACTCTGCCACCTGTTATCCTGGACTCTGTGCATCTGGCCAGTGGGCCAAGTGCTGGCTGCACCCCTGTAGTGAAGAACAGTGCCTTTGTTGTGTACCAGTTCCCACTTTCTGCCTGTGGCACTACTTTTCAGGTAAGAGCTGCAGCTTTCACCAGGCAGGACTGCGAGCTCCAGATAGACCTGGAGAAGCCTGAGGCGGCTTTGGCTGTTTAGTGGGCACCCTACAGGCTTCTGGAGGCCAAGCAGTGTTCTGCAGCCTGGCTTTACTGCAGCCACAGAGCCTGGTCTGTTGTTGCAGGTCACTGGAGGCCACGCTGTGTATGAGAATGAGTTGGTGGCATCCAGGGATGTGAGGACTGGGAGCCTTGGCTCTGTCACTAGGGACAGCACTTTCAGGTAACGTTCTGGAGCTGGGACTGCTGCTATGTGCAGCCTTCCTGGAGGCGTTCTTGCTTGTTGCAAGTTCTGAGCTCACAACAGGGACGCTGGTGTAGGGTAGGGACTGGCGTGTCCCTGATTAGAGGGAGGAGTAAAGCTGTTGCTGATTAGTGACACTACAGATTTCCATCTGAACTCCAGGGAACTTCTAGTAGGTAAAAGGAAGTGTTGGTGGGGAGACTGGGAATATAACTAACTTAAGGAGATAATTAGGTTGCAGCCTTGGAGAAAGGTAGATACTCAGCATCAGAGTGAACTTGCTTGACTTGGGGTGTTCCTGTTCTACCAGGCTACATGTCCACTGTAGTTACTTGATCACTGGGAGCTTCATCCCCCTTGAGTGTTGAGCTTCATCCCCCTTGGGCGGAGGCGTCATTAGCCCAGTGGCAAGAGGTGCTCACATAACCCCGTCCTACCTGGGCAGGAGCCTTCAGGGTCACAGGTTCGAGGCCTGCCTCGGGGGCTGACACCACTCTCCCTGTTTTCCTGCTAGACCTTCTCTTCACAAACAGAGAAGGACTGGTGGTTGATGTGGTGGTTGGAAGCTGTCTTGGGCAGAGTGACCATGAAATGGAGTTCTCTATTCTCGGCGAGGCCAGGAAGGGGACCAGTAAAACTGCTGTATTGGACTTCTGGAGGGCTGACTTTGAGCTGCTCAGGACACTGGTTGGCAGAGTCCCTTGGGAGGCGGTTCTGAAGGGCAGAGGGGTCCAGGAAGGCTGGGCGCTCTTCGAGAAGGAAATCTTAATAGCGCAGGAGCGGTCTGTCCCCACGTGCCCAAAGATGAGCTGGTGTGGAAGAAGACTGGCCTGGCTCAACAGAGAGTCGCAGCTTGAGTTTAGGAGGAAAAAAGAGGGTTTATAATCTTTGGGGGAAAAAAGGGCGGGCCACTGAGGAGGACTGTAAGGATGTTACAAGGCTGTGCAGGGACAAAATTAGAAAGGCCAAAGCTCATCTGGAGCTCAATGTGGCTACTACTGTTAAAGACAACAAAAAATCTTTTTACAAATACATCAGTGCAAAACTAAGGAGAATCTGCATCCTTTACTGGATGCGGGGGGGGAAACCTTCGTACAAAAGATGAGGAGAAGGCGGAGGTGCTTAATGCCTTCTTTGCCTCAGTCTTCAGCGGCAATACCAGTTGTTCTCTGGATACCCAGTACCTTGAGCTGGCGGAAGGGGATGGGGAGCACAATGTGGCCCTCACTATCCATGAAGAAATGGTTGGCGACCGGCTACGGCACTTGGATGTGCGCAAGTCGATGGGGCTGGATGGGATCCACCCGAGGGTACTGAGAGAACTGGCGGAGGAGCTGGCCAAGCTCCTATCCATCATTTATCAACAATCCTGGCTATCGGGGGAGGTCCCAGTTGGCTGGTGGCTAGCAAATGTGATGCTCATCTACCAGAAGGGCCGGAGGGCTGACCCGGGGAACTATAGGCCTGTCAGTTTGACCTCAGTGCCAGGGAAGCTCATGGAGCAGATTATCTTAGGAGTCATCACGTGGCACTTGCAGGGCAAGCAGGTGATCAGGCCCAGTCAGCATGAGTTTATGAAAGGCAGGTCCTGCTTGACAAACCTCATCTCCTTCTATGACAAAGTGACACACGTGGTGGATGAGGGAAAGGCTGTGGATGTGGTCTGCCTTGACTTCAGCAAGGCTTTTGACACAGTTTCCCATAGCATTCTCCTCAAGAAACTGGCTGCTCTTGGCTTGGACTGGCGTACGCTTTGTTGGGTTAGAAAATGGCTGGATAGCCGGGCCCAAAGAGTTGTGGTGAATGGAGTCAAATCCAGTTGGAGGCTGGTCACCAGTGGCGTCCTCCAGGGCTTGGTGCTGGGGCCGGTCCTCTTTAATATCTTCATCGATGATCTGGACGAGGGCATTGAGTGCACCCTCAGTAATTTCCCAGATGACACCAAGTTAGGTGCGTGTGTCGATCTGCTCGAGGGTAGGAAGGTTCTGCAGGAGGATCTGGATAGGCTGCACCGATGGGCTGAGGTCAACTGCATGAAGTTCAACAAGGCCAAGTACCGGGTCCTGCACCTGGGGTGCAATAATCCCAAGCAGAGCTACAGGCTGGGAGATGAGTGGTTGGAGAGCTGCCAAGCAGAGAAGGACCTGGGAGTGATGGTGGACAGTAGGCTGAATATGAGCCAGCAGAGTGCTCAGGTGGCCAAGAAGGCCAACGGCATCCTGGCTTGTATAAGAAGCAGTGTGACCAGCAGGGCTAGGGCAGCGATTGTCCCCCTGTATTTAGCTCTGGTGAGGCCGCACCTTGAGTGCTGTGTTCAGTTTTGGGCCCCTCGCTACAAGAAGGACGTGGAGGTGCTCCAGAGAGTCCAGAGAAGGGTGACAAAGCTGGTGACGGGCCTGGAGAACAAGTCCTATGAGGAGTGGCCAAGGGAGCTGGGCTTGTTCAGCCTGGAGAAGAGGAGGCTCAGGGGTGACCTTATAGCTCTTTATAAGTACCTTAAAGGAGGCTGTAGTGAGGTGGCGGTTGGTCTGTTCTCCCATGTGCCTGGTGACAGGATGAGGGGGAATGGGCTAAAGTTGTGCCTGGAGAGTTTATGTTGGATGTTAGGAAGAACTTCTTTACTGAAAGGGTTGTGAGGCGTTGGAACGGGCTGCCCAGGGAAGTGGTGGAGTCACCATCCCTGGAGGTCTTTAAAAGACGATTAGATGTAGAGCTTAGGGATATGGTTTAGTGGAGGACTGTTAGCGTTAGGTCAGAGGTTGGACTTGATGATCTTGAGGTCTCTTCTAACCTAGAAATTCTGTGTTTCTGTCTACTGCTAAATCCCTCTAAAAGCTGTTGTCCTTGGTCAGAGCAGATCTCCCATGATACACCACGTGGGGTAGGGGGAACATTGGAAGCTGACAGCTAAAGCTCCTGGTCTGGCTTCCTTAGGCTGGATGCCTAATGCTATCCTGCCTTCTCAGCGCAGAGCATGTCTTTGTTACGGAGCAGACAGCAGCAGGTGCAGATCTGTGGAAAGGACAGTGGGGCTCCCCTTTCTGTCACTGCTACCTGCTCTCATGCAGAACACGGGTGGTTTGTGTGGGTAGATTGCCTAGACAGTGTTGCCCACTCTGATGGAGGGAAATGTAAATGCGACCACATTGTCCCCCAGATGAGGTGGTTGTTCTACCTCTGCTAAAACTCGTGAGGTGCTAAGAGTAATAAGCAAGTGAGTTGGAAAGTTTGGGTGAAACTCCAAATGCTTTGTGCAATTTTTGTTTTGTTAGGTTCTACGACACTCTTGATTTCATATTACTCTTTGCTCTATCAAGTCCATAAAACACTTGCTGCACTTCTTTGCATTGAAGCTGCCCCCTTGTGTTAATTCTCTAAATGCAATATTATGCCAGGAACAAAGCACAGAAGATTTTAACCTCGTGGATTTTGAAGATCTGGCCATATCTCATTACTCCAAAGAAACAGCACGGAAAAAATGTGTTGTAACAAGTAGAACTTTGCATTTAAAAGAGCAAACTGAGATCAATTTCTTTAAGGTTAAAAACCATTCCCTCTCTCGAGAGGGTGGACCTGAGATGTCCTGAAGTTTTAAAGGAAATGAGAGAGTAAAGCTAAGTCTCTGATTTTACCTTCAATTTTCCCTGGTGAAAATGCAGTCTGCTTGAAATAAGCCACCGAAGAGCTGACAGGAGTGTCTTCCCGAGGAGATTCCATTGTCCTCTAATCCTTCCTGTTAAACTTAATAAGGTTTGTCAGACTGCGTGTGGTTGAATTTACTAAGCTGACCATTACAACTGTATTGTGCATGTGAAATCAAGTGATCCATGGTAAGCCCAAGGCTGTAGAGTAAAATACGGTTCAATATGACACAGTTTAAGTGACTCGTAGGGCTGCTACCTGGCTGTGTGTGTTTCACTAATGGTTTGTAGCAGGTAAGGTTTCTGCCTTCTCTGCAACTCCTAACATTTTCTACCTGTTCTGCAGGCTGGGATTTGAAATGTTCCATCAGTTGGGGTCTGACTCATTTCCCAGCTAACAGCATGGCCCGTTCTGTGTCTGAATAAAACTAAGCAAACCTTGTGTTCATTTATGGCCTCTCCAGCTGCCTGTGGGGGCTTCATCACCAAGCTCAATGGGACCATTACTAGCCCTGGATGGCCCAAGGAATATCCTACTACAAAAACTGCATCTGGCAGGTGGTAGCTCCAGCTCAATACCGGATCTCTCTGCAGTTTGAAGTGTTTGATCTGGAAGGCAATGATGTACGTAACCAACCCCTGCATCTCAGAAGTGTGACTATTGGCTAACTTGGGACTGGGTAAATCCTTCGGGTACAAGCCAGAGGAGCCTGACTTGCTGGTGGAGCTTCTGGTTGTTTCCCGACCCTTGCTATAATAGGCCAGTAATGCTGATTGTTCTGCTTGAAGTCTGAATCTTCTTTCTCCAGGGAGTGGAGAATTAAAGTTGTTCTGTTATAAATGGACTTCTTTCCTCAGCCAGTTCTGCAAAATAGTAGGTGTTCTCCATCCTTAATAGGTGTCCCATCCCTCCCTTCCCTAGGGCTGCCTTTGTAAGAAAATAGAAATGAGTAGAGAGGTCGTTCTTCAAGGGTAAAGCAAATAACCATGAAAAGAGACCATTCTCTGCCCTGCCAAGGACAGGATGGATTCTGAACAAAGCATTCAGGTTTCACTTCCTCCACTGGAAATGGCTCTTCCTTAATTTGGGAAGCTGCTGAAGTTCATTCAATACCACTAGGCTCTTGAATAAGGTAGGATTCATTATTTTACCTAAATTAAATGGAAACCCTACTATTCCAATAAACACAGTCCTGCTGGAAGACTAGGGCAACAAGGGAATGGGGTAAGAACACTGACAAAAGAGAACTTAGGGAAATGAGGAGTGTGTATGTGTATATGGATATTTTCTTTCCCTGTCAGTCAAGCCCCTGTCCCCTCTCTCTGAAATGCTCTGTTCTGAGTGCAATGCCTCTTCTTGGCAGGTGTGTAAATACGACTATGTTGAGGTTCGTAGTGGGTTGGCTTCTGACTCCAAGCTGCATGGCAAATTCTGTGGCTCAGAGAAGCCCGAAGTAATCACATCATACGGCGACAACATGAGACTGGAATTCAAATCAGACAACACGGTATCCAAGAAAGGATTCAAAGTCCACTTCTTCTCTGGTATGTGTCTTGTCTCCTCTGACTGCACCTCTACTTGTTGAGTAAATTGTCTTAAACCTCCTGACGTAGTTGCATCTAAAAAGCATAGTTGCTCTGTGCTGTGTCATCTTGGTTTCTCAGTGCAGTGTATGGCCCAGTTTCGCAATGTGATGTCAACGAGGTGCATGGATTTCATCAATGCCTCTTGTCCCTCCTCAATGGAAGCAAATGGGAACCCGGTCCTAGAAATTCTCTCTGTCTCCGGTGTCATTAAGAATAGTCTTCTTTTTTCAGCTTCAGATAGCAGCTCATACCTTAGATTATCTTCTCTATCTGTTTGCTTGTGCTCTTGAACAGAGCAGCCTGAAGACGGAGGCTCATCAGAGCCTTTACAAACTTGAAAATACAGAGATTGACCAGCAGACTTCTTTCTAGGCTAGTGAATTTGTGTGATTCCTATCCTGGTCCCTATTTGAAAAGAAAGAGGTGTTGCTCTAGGTTTCTTTTAGATAAGGAGTCTTTAATAATTCAAAACCTGCGTTATGTAATGCACTTTTGTGATGCATCTTATGGACTGAGAAACAGTTGAAGAAAACTCTGTATGGGCTAATAAGGTGGTGACTGGACTAATCCAGCAATAGGGGTTGGAGGCTTGTGTTTGTATTCCCCAGTCTGGATATGGGGTTCAAGGCTGGTGTATCAACACTTTTGGAAGCTACGTATGCCAGTGCAGAAATGGCTTTATGCTGCATGAAAATGGCCACGATTGTAAAGAAGGTAGGTCCCTGCTCTCTGCAGTCAGGAAAGATGAACTACCACAAACACAAAGAGTGCTTCAGGCCTATGTTGGAAGCTAGTTTGTGCTGCCAAGTGCCGTACCAGTCTGGGGCCCTGAAAAAGCCCCTGCTAGCTGAAAAACTACTTTGGGGAAGGAAAAACAGGGCTTGTTTTCAGCTCCACCCATTTCCCAGTCAACACGGTGGCAGGGTTGGAGACCGTGTGACCGGGAGCAGGGCAGAGGAGACAGAGGAGCAGGAGAACACATTTGGGAGTGAGGGTGCAGATGAGGTTAATGGGGCCCAGGGGAATAAACTGGTTTCTTTCACCAGCTGACCAGTTAACTCAGCCAGCTAGTGCGGCTGCACCAGGGGATGCCAAACATATAGGCCTTCCGGGGGACAAACCCAGCAGAATTGGGCAGTAATCCTGAAAGACTTTCTCCAGTGACCGAAGCCTCCCCTAGTTCTGCCATGCTTAGGGTCTCAGTGGGCGGGAAGAAGCATGTAGGCCATTTCAGTGATGCAGTTCCTGTATGAGACCTACCTTGATGCCTCTGTCTCATGATCTCCCTCTGTTTTTCTCAAGCTGGTTGTGAGCATAAGCTGAGCAGTGCAGAGGGAATGATGAGCAGTCCAAACTGGCCTGACAAGTACCCAAGCCGGAAAGAGTGCACCTGGAATATCTCTGCAACATCTGGCCACCAAGTGAAAGTAGTGAGTGACCAGAGAATGGGAGTGCCAGGGGAGAAACATGCTCAGAATTGTAAGTGTCTCTGTCATTTGCCTTATTCTTGCTGTAGATCACTTGATCTTCTATTTGTGGCAGCCCAGAGGTGGGTGTGTTGTGTCCAGGTTCACTTTTCTGAAACCTTTGTCAATAAATGAAGGAAGCAGACTGAGCAGCATCTTCCTCACTGGCAGCGGGGAAACCAAAAGGATCAGGCTCCTCTATATTATGTGGGTCATTGGCTTTGTGGATGACTGAAGACTTCACTGTTTTGTCTTAATCGAGTGCAGTGGTTAGTTACCTTCCCTGTTGTATGTGTGCTGGAGGTTTTCTTTTCCCACAGATGGCCCAAAAGCGAGATGGCAAGTCTTTGTCATGAGGTAGGGCCTTTGTGGAGACTGTTTTGTGCCCTTTCTTCCTTCAGTGTGTGGCGGGCTCTTAAAGGCTGAAGTACAAACTAAGGAGCTGTATTCCCATGCTCAGTTTAGGGACAACAACTATCCAGGTCAAGCCAACTGTGACTGGGTGATTGTAGCTGAAGATGGTTATGGGGTGGAGCTGATATTCCAGACATTTGAGGTCGAGGAAGAAGCTGACTGTGGGTACGACTACATAGAGATCTACAATGGTTACGACAGCACTGCACCCCGCCTGGGACACTTCTGTGGTTCAGGGGTAAGCCATAGTGATGGGGAATTCACAGTGCTGGCTGGAGGTGGGAAAGAAGGGAACTCGTGTCCTTTTTGGGAGAGGGTCAGCAGTCACAAATTGGTGATGAGAATGCCTTGTGTGTCTGTGTTTTCCTTCTTCCCCTCTTGGTAAAGATTACGGTCATTTTATCTGCTATACAGAGTTGGTCTGAGAACCTTTCCAGCTGGCTTTCCCTTGCTAAGCTAGGGCTGTGTGCAATCAGCATGGGACTGCTGCATTGCTGTGCCCTAGCCTGGCCCCAAAAGCATTGTGTGAAAGTAAGAAACTACTTCCAGAGACTGGTTTAATCCTCAGTTACTTCCTGCCTGCAGCCAAGGTACATTGCAGTCATGCTCTGGAGAGAGTGAAGGGTGGAGCCGTTTGTCGACTCCGGGATGGTGTCCTGTCTCCTACATTGTTATCTGTGTTCCCCTTTAACAGAAGTGACTCCAGAATTGGAGTCACTCACTCCAACAGTGTGTGGTATTTAAAACCAGAGGTTCCATGCTTGGTTTCTCTAGGACTTCAGTGATGAAACAGAGAATGTGCTTATTGAATTTAAAGAGAGACAATCAGGCAGCCCGTGTGTCACACCAGCCTGTGCAAACTGGGGAAATGGTCTGGAAAACAAACAAAGGCATAGCAGATTGGTGCGGAGAAGTTCAGGACAGGGGGGCAGTAATCACCTACCTGCATGCTGTCAAACAGAGCGGTGGGGAAGCATCAGTCCTGCAGAGAAGCACAGGGAGGTTATAGCAGGACACAACAGCGAGGGAAATCACCAGTTTGCTTGTAAGAGATATGGCTAAGTTATTTTGCTGCTAATCGACCCTGGAAGGGCCTCAGCTGCCTACAGGGTCCACTTGGCATTGTGTCATTTCCTGAAAAGATTAGGACAAATTAGAGCATACTCAGAAGACTGGAACAAGAATGTCCAGGGAGTCCTGTGAATGTGACCTACCAAAACCAACCGGAAGAACTGGGATTGTAGAATGGACTGGCATCAGACGTCACATGTTAAAAGGCATGCATGCAAAGAGCAAGGGTATATACTCAGGAAAGCAGGCAGGGCAGGAGGTACTGAGTTCTCAGTATTTGTGTTCTCCGGCCAGTCTGTCTTCACTGTGATCTTGAACTCTGGTATCATAATGCAGTTATTTAGCATGCAAACTTGACCGATCTATGTTCTCTCTCTCTTTTTTGGTCTTCCTTTTCTGCAGCCTCTGGAAGAAATCTACTCTGCAGGGGATTCCATCATGATTCGGTTTCACACAGATGACACCATTAACAAGACAGGCTTTCACGCCCGATACATAAGTACCAAATTTCAGGATGCACTGCATATGAGAAAGTAATGTGACTGCTCCTTTCAGACATTCCCCATCTGAAGACTGAGACATTTAACTGTGATCTTTGTCTTTTTTTTAAGCTTCTGTGCACCTGGCCTAAAGCAGTGTACAGCATTTTCTGTAACTAAAACTAAATCTAGTCACAAAAGTTTGCCTCTGAACTCATTAGCTTGACCCTCTCTTGTTAACATACCCAGGACCAAAAATTGTCTTCTAATCATATCCGTCAGGGCATAATCATTGTATTTTGCACAGCTTCCCGTGGGGTTGAGTGAAGACTGAGCTTGAGCTGAGAGAAGTCTCGGTCTCTTGAATATCCTGTCTCTAGGTGACATTTCCTAGGCATCCTGTACATGAGCTGTGTGAATGCATTTTCTGCTCCTTCTATCCTATCTATTTATTGTCTTGGTTATCGTGGATTGTGAGGTTGAAACGGTACGGGGAAGTTCTCTTTAGGTGTCTATTTCATTAAGGCACTCATGGGCAATTATGAGCTAAAAGCTGAGGTATGTTAGCTTTAATAAAGTATTTATTATCCAGGGATTACTATGTTTACAGAACCAATGTACTGTCAGGCTCTGGGGTGACACCTTCTGCTTGGGTGTATGACTGTGAAGTGGGGGGCCAGCGCCACTGTCAGGCACCAATGACCTTTCTGGAGGTGAGGCCTTTTCCAGATGGATAACAAATTGACCCATCCCTCTCCAGAAGTCCTTGAACAGAATACAATCCAAGTATTGTGAATACTATGGGAAGCAAATGCATGACAATATTTTCTTGCTTGGAACAAGAAAAATAAAATTTATACACACACACACGGTTGTATGTATATAAAATGTGCATGTAGAAGACCGGTAGTCAAAGCCTTAATTGTCATGTGACCAATACCAATCCATTGACTATAGCTTTACTGCAGACTGCATAAAACCATGTTATTTCTGTTTGTTTTTCTAGCTCTGTTTTGTTTCTGTTTTCATTTTGTGTGGGCTTTTTACAGGCAAGGTCTTTTGTCTCAAGCTGTTTGTCCATACAGGTCTGGGAAAATGCAGTCTGCTAGCCGGGGTCTCTTCCTTGCCCCCATTCAAGCAAAAGTGCAGTGACTCAGGTCTGGAAATAAAAGCCAGATGCCAGTCCCTGTGAAGCAGAAGGAAAGTTCCAGGTGGCGAGCAGCAGTTCAGATTTCCTGGCTCTCTAACGGAAGTAATGACTCTGGAGAGAAGTTACTGCAGAAGCTTCCTGTGTACTTCAACATCTGTGCTCTCTGTTCCGATATTTTCTCATCTTTCTCAGACTGTGTTCAATGCTCTGGTTTGTTGCAATAGGGTTTGATGGATCTACTGCACTTGTTACCATTCAAGCAGGTGTCTCTTGTGACAGTGTACTCACAACTGTTGTACTGTACGTTTCAACCAATGATCTGTGTGGAATATTTCTGCTGTACTGACTGGGCTTGACAGTCAATTCTAAATGTGTGAAAGTTTCTTAAGGAAAAAAAAGTGAGACCCTCTAAGGTGTATCTACACATTCTGGTCTTCGTGTGGTTTTACCTTTCACTAACTAAAATAATTTTTTTAGAGGGGGAGGGAGAGGGAGGGTGTGGGGGCAACCAAAATGTACGTGTGCAGAATGAGTCTCTGCATTCATTAAAGACTGGATTCAGTTGCATGTTCTGTTGTATGCATGCGTTTACCACGTTGTCGAGGGGAGAGAATTTCTCAATACATTTCTTGTTTCTGATGTGTCCGCTGGTAATAGTGGGTGGGATTTCCTGTCTGCAGAAAGTAGCCTTCGCTTGATCGTGGTTTTGGGAATCAGAAGGACACTTAGGCAGTGACACTTGGTCAGCCAAAGGCTACATCATTGTCTTGTGTTCTGTGCTGATCCTTTAGTGATCTGGGATGTAGATCTAGAGTGATAAACATGGATGTGGAAATTAGTCCATAAGTAGATTTCAAAAGAGAAAGCCCATATAGTGCTCTACAGGGTAGAGCCTTCAGCAGCAGGTCCCACAGTCTCTGGGACGTGAAACTCGTGTGTAAAGGACAGCAGAATGAGCATAAGGCAGGTGTTCCTTACTGCAGCCTTCTGGTCTACACTCCCACTCTAGCAGCAAAATGTCCGGTAGCCAAGCAGCACGTAGGATGCTTTTCTTCCTCTTTTTGCCCTCTGCTTGATGCCTGTCGTGCTTCCTTAAGGATCGTATCTCTGTTATTCCCCCAACACATACCCAGTTCATGCATGTCCCACCACCCAGTACGCTTCCTGTGGTGTGTGTCAGGGCCACTCAGAACTTCATAGTGACTGAATTTCCTCCCAGCTGCTCCCAAAGGCAGAGCAGCAACAGAAACACAGTAAGGAATGAGCATCCCCGTGCAGCCTCCTGCACCAGAGTGGTGTTGCACAGCATGACTCTGGAATGAGCCTGGATGCTGACAGTCAAGTCACTTGGTAGACATGATTTCCAAAATGAGGGCCAGGAAGCCTTCAGTCACATAGACGGTTATGGGCTGAAGTGATGTTGAAGCCTTGGAAACGATGCAGACCAAGGGAAGCCAGTGGGGAATGGGAGGTAAAATAGAAGATGGAATATGAACCAATGCAGCAGCTCACGGAGAAACACTGACATCTGCAGTTGCAGCAAGGTATGTTCTCACTGTGTACATGATCTATCTGTTGTACGTGTGGGGACCTTTCACAGGCTTATATATATATTCCCTGTGGTTCAAATAGCATTGTCCTTTAATTTCTCTTTCCGCTCTGATTGCCAGCTACCAGTGCTGTGGGAAATGGCCAAGCCTCATTTTAAGAGACGGGACTTAATGTTCCAGAAAGTGCCCAAGAACCGTCCAGTCACCATGCGTGAGATGCTGAAGGGAATATCTGTCGTCTGCCAGGAGATGCTTCATCCTCTGAAAGCATGAATTCAGTGGTACACCACAGTTGAGACAGAGAAGGTTGTCCACAGCAGAGAGCCCTTGGTCTCAGCATCAGGCATGAAAGAAGCTGGCAGAAATCCTCCACTTTGTCCTGGCATTCCCAGTAAGCGTGCTCTGTCAGACAAGGTGTTAGCCTTAGAGAATAAAAGTAGGATTCCCCTCAGGCTGGGCTCTGGTACGTATTAAACACATCATCTGAGCCAGGAGCACTTTTGCTTGCCATAAGGCAGATAAAAGAAGAGGTGGAGTCCTCAGTGCCCTGAAGCTCAGCTTTCCGTGTGCTGGCCAGACTCTGCCCCCGGCAGAGGAGCTGTTTTACCAGGTGTGCTGGGACCCAGCCAGGTTACTTGACTCACCCTGACAGAAATGCCATCGTCTCTTCCTCTTTACAGGTCTGCAGTTTGTTTTTTAGCAGGAAGAGAAGCGTATCTTAAAAGGAGTGCTAACCTGGAGCAGGACGGTCAGCTGTTAGCGCGTGCAGGGATTTCTCGGGGAGGAGAGCGAAATGGTGAGTGGGAGCCGTGCTGTCTCTCTCGGTTGATGGATGAACTTGGGGGAGCGGTCCGGGCAGGAGAGGTGAGGCCATGGGAACGCTCAGGTGTTTGGTGGAACGAGCATTCAGCCCTCCTGTTCTCTGCCCCAACCGAGTCAGTCAAGCTGGCCCTTCTGCTATCTCTGCATTTCCCTGTTGTGCAACCAATGCTTTCTGACGCCTGACTGGGTTTTAGTGTCTATCCCAGCTTTTCTGTCCTGGAGGTGTCACCTGGTGTTGGGCAGTTGGGGCAAAGCGGAAGCATGGTTGTGTTGTTTTCTGTTTTAAGCTAAACTGCAGTATAAAGCTTTCTCTTGCCCAGGATGTGCCCTCGGCAGGCAGTAGCTCCTGTAGTTAATGCTGCAGGGAAATCTACCCAACTCACGTCAGGTCACTGACACTCAGAGCCCTGTAAACATTATGCTCGAGTAATCTGGGCAATCGGCAAACAAAAGCAGGGGCACTGCAGGCATTTGTCTGCAACCACTATGTTGAATTATGCTCACTTTAAGTTTTGAAATTTCAGAGCAGGCAGATGATCAGGATTTTCAGCTGAGACAACTAGAAGTATTTATACATTGGAAGTCAACAGTAATTTACTTGTAAAGATCCTTTCACAATGGTTAGTGTACAAATTTCCATACTTATATTTTTTTTGGGACTGACTGGAGACAATTGCTTTAAGCTCTTGTACACTTGAGAGAAACGGGTTAGTTCTGTGTCTTGCTCCAGTGCAGAACCAGGCTTTTCCTTTAAATAAGGGCTTACTTTATACTTTCTGTCCTCAAGTGTTAAGGGATTAAGTCTTTACCCCCGGTCTGAAACTAGGATTAAATAAGCTAGGAAAAGCATTTCTACTCAAATCAAGGGCTACCAGTCAGGTTATTGCAAGGAACAAATAGACCTGTTGCTAGCTGGCAAGTTAATTTTGTCAACAGTCAACTGCACACACAGATCTCGTTTCACAAATACCTTGAGCACAGAGAGGTGAACAGAGGTAAACAACACATTCTGTGTGGCTCCTTCTCTTCAGACTTTGATTTAACCTGCATATGCACAGTCCTGGAAATAATCACGAAGTCCATTAAGTGTACGGTCTTTCACCGAGAAGAAGGAAATAAAATAAATGTACAGCTTCAGAGAAGATAAATACCCAAGAGATAAATATCCAAGCTCAAACATTAACAGGTCAGCTGTTCAGAAAGGTATGTGTCAGTGAGGAAGCTCAAAGAATGCACAATAGAAAGTTCGGGTGAGAACATCTCTGTTGTGTTTCATTCCCAGCTGGCGAATGTTTCATTCGCAGCGGTACCTGGGCCTCTGGGGAGTTAGGAAGAAATCAATCCTTCTCACTTGGTGACTGGATGTTAACTGGGTCTGCTCAGAGGCATTTCCCAACATCTGCAGTCCCTACGACAAGCTGTTGAAAGGTTATACTTCCAGTTCAATGTCCACAGCCTGCCTGTAAAGGCCATAGTTCTGAACATGCCTCCAGCTGCAGTCTGTAGTGGGAGGATCAGTTCTGGACCTCTCAATGAGCATTATGATCCTTCACGCCCAGTGATGTGTCCTGCTCCTAGGCCACAGGACTCAGACTGGGCTGAGACTGAAGAGCCAAATCTCTCTCAGCTTGCTTGCGTTCCGAGCCTTCCTTCTCCATAAACTGCAATGCCCAGACTTTTATTGGCATGCTTTGACCTCCCTGATCTGAAATAACCATGCCCAACTCAGGGCATGGCAGCAGAACTTCCTGCAGGCAGAAAAAGGGCAGCTTTCTGCCAGCTCCCTCCCTACTGGCTTTTGGTGGATGCAAAGAGAAGCTCCCTTTCAGTCTTCTCCTGTCCCCTTCCACATCAGTTCCAGCGGAGATCTCAGCAGATTTGCTCTTTCGCTCCATTTTATTTAACTCCTATGTGTTTCTGGTGCTGACCAGGGTTCAGTAATAACATTGAACCTACATGTCTTAACAGAGTTGCTTCCTGTGGATTAAAGAAGAGGAGGGAAAAGCTTCTGCAGTGCTTGCCCTCATTGCCAGCCCCAAAGCTAAGCTTCCCTTCCCAGCACTGTCAGTAGCACGGGTCCCTACAGGCGGCCTCAGCTGCCCACAGAGCTCACCATATTATGGACTCAGTGCTGCTTCCAACAGTACAGCTACACCAGCAAGAGAGACTGAGAGCAGCTTTTAGCTTTCTCCAAGCCTCTTTCTGCATTCCTCCTAGAATGGTAGTGTCTGTATCCCAGCTGCCCCAGGCAGCAAAACATCACCAAACAGCTCTTGTTCTGCCTGGGGAAACAATTTAGTCAGGAAGGAGTTAGTCTTTTTTTCATCTGTCTGTTGAATCAACAAGAGCAGGAACTGCAGCTGGTCTGGGGCTCAGAGGCTGCAGGTGGAGGTGCTTGCTGTCTTACAAGCTGCCACTTTCCTGTAGCTCCCCAGCCACTGTGGGGACAAACAGCCTTGTCCTCCCTCGCTGGGAGCTAGCTGCCGGGGTGAGCTCCTTGCACGATAATCCCCGACTACTCAGAGGAGGCTCTGCATGGCGTAAGCAATTCCAGTAAACCTGTTCAAGTTTGTTTATTTGTATTGCTTTCTTAAATAGTATGACATGCTCTTTGTTTTCTCTGGAGTACCTATCACAACTTAATATTCAGATCACATCGGTATATTCTCATGCCGTCACCTCCAGTCACTTCGGAAATATCCCTGCCCACTCCCACAGATGGTCAGGGCACCTGACACTCAATTCTGTTTTTTATTTTTTATTCTTATTTGTTATTTCTCTTCAGACAACAACGTTTTCCAAACCCTTTTACAACACAACAGTAAGTACACTGCATAGGATGAAGATCTATTGCCTACTCAGCACTGTGGTACATATAGGAGCTGGGGAAGTTCTGGAAGAGAAGTTCCAGAAGAGAAGGAGGTGCTGTTACGGGTGGGCGGCTGCTGGGGATCTTCTCTGACATGCTGTCCTAACGCCACTGACCTTATATTGTAGCACTAAGGACAGGTGAGATGCTTACAGAACCCCCAATCCTGCCTTTGTGCCTGTTTTCTCGTTTATTTAGAAATGGGCAAATCCAGTATGTTTGCAGTGTTTTACTGCATGAGCTGTCAGCTGCAGGCGGTGGGTCAGTGTGGGCAAGGGAATAACAAGCGATGCGCTTGCCACCATCACTGTGTGATAGGCTTTCATGTCGTGGGGCCTCAGGTGCCTTTGGAGCCGGGTGGGACATTTTTCAATGGCTAGAAAAATCCAGAGGGTTTTGTTTTGGGTTACACGCAGTTTTCAGGGCCCTGCACTACACGCATTGCTTCTGTGAACCCAGGCAGAGTGTGCAGCACTCTCCACTGACTGATGCTCGAGGGAAGGCCAAGCAGGCAGATGACGTGGCAGGGACAAAGAGCAGCCTGTTGCAAAAGCACATCATTTTTGGGGGCTTCCTGCTACCCTTTTTGCAGCTTTCCCTTCAGAGTCCAGCTTTCTCTGGCATATATTTGTGCTTATTTCCTGCGTACGCTTTTTTTTTCCAGCCCTAAGCCCCTTTCTGAGGAAGAACATGTATTCCTTCCAGGCAGAGCCATTGCTGGAAGGACCAAAGTCTGGGTTCTTGCTTATGACTGGCACTCACAGGCCACAACCTCAGGGTGCAGCCGAGTTCTCCGTGGGTTACCTACCATGTGCTGTTATTGAAGTCTTGCAACTGCTTGCTTAGCCTCTGTCCATGTTTGCTTTATATGAAATATATTTTCGCAATGTTCTTTAACCATCTTATTTCTAGACTTCTGCAACTACAACAGGAAACACAGCTGCCCAAGCAGATTGCAATGGGGTAAGACTTTGCTTCGTTATTTAATGTGATTGTTTACAGGGAACATTTTCCCTCTAAAATCAAATCTTTGCTACCTTTGTCCATTCCCATGTGCGGTGCAGCTGGGCTAGATGCCGCTGTTGTGGCCCAGGGCTGCAGTTTTGTCTCTCACATTGGCTATCCTTGTTGCATGCTAGCCCCACGCTCTGCTACTGAGCACAGCATTAAAGGATCACCATGCATGCGTTTGACCTGATTCTCTTTCTTTGTGAGGTAGTACCAGCCCTGGGTGATTGGAGTAGCTGCAGGGATACCCAGCTTCCTGGCCTTGGTCCTTGCAGTCATCTTGGCAGTGGTCTGTGTTCTCCAGTGGTCAAACTTCAGATGGAAGCAGGTAAATACCTTCCATCTCCTGGATGCCTTGCCACTTCCGAGCCTAGTCCTCTCCATCAGAGTTCTGATTCAGTACCTTCTGCAGCTCTTAGGATGTTCAAGACCGAACCCCTAGGCACCCCTACCCACAAAGCGTCACTGCTCTGCTTAGGAGTTACAGGATCATAAAGATAAAAGAGAAATTCATGTGAAAATATGGGAGCGTTACTGCCAAGTGGTCTGTTAACTAGCAGGAAGTAACCAAAAAATCTCTCATCCTTGTTGTTCAGTGGATTTCTCTTGTTATTTGCTACAGGAAATCATTCGTTTAGGAATCCTCTGACTACAAAATAGTGTTATTTAGTTCCCAAAACACTGCTGCATCGTTTCATACTATGTGGTCAACTTTTTCTCTGTTCCAGCCCATGGGGTGGGTTTAAATGCCCACCTCCCCATTGGTGGGGTAGAGCGAGGGGGTTGTGTAGTACCCTGCCTTGTTCCTCTGGGGTGAAAAAGCATTCATGTGTCCACGGAAGAGGAAAATCAGGAAGCATTGTGGCAACCAAACACTGACAATTCTGTGGCCCTTTCCTCCCCCTACCACTTTTATAGGTGTTTTAACCAGCTCTAGGGCTTGCATGGCTCATTGTTTTCTTACTTCAGAAAGAAACCTGTAACAGTACTGAGGGAGGTAGTTTCCATGTTGTTGTTGTTGGTTAATGTTTTTTTGATTTGTTTTGTTTTCTCTGTGTGTAGTTGTGCTAGTGAGTGTTTTCCCCTGCATTAAAGGGAACCAGGTGGATTTAGGATGATGTAGTGAAAGCGATTCTTGGGCATCAGGGGTTCACTGCTACAAGGTAATTCCCATGGGCTGGCATCAAGTGGCCTGTGTGATTGTCCCAGATGAAAAATCATTTTGACGTCCAGCTTAGATTGTTAGATACTATTCCATGTGGTTATTTATGCCCCGAGTATGTTCTGAGTTCTGAGCAGTTTGGTAACAGAACATTTTTTCCCTGCTCTGTACTTCTTGCACTGTTGTTGGTGAATTGTAGAGAGGTGGTGTTTGTCACTCTTTCTGCTCATCTCTTCAGACAAGTGGGTGTCCTGAGATACGGGAAGAACACGAATATGAACGATCTCCTCCCAGACCTCCAGATGTAAGTCATCTGTTAACTGATTCTTACTGTAGCACACAGGCTTCCGAGTGAGTTACTCAACAAAGGACTGGCTTTAAGGGTAGCCCTAGACAAATAATAGAGACTTCATGGAAAGCTCTCCCCCCATGCTTGCCTGTGGCTCCTACACTACTGCTGTTTCTAGCTGTATGTCTGTCCGATGCAATCTCAGATGAGGGGCCAGCAATAGATTGCCATTGTTTTTAGAGTACACAGGTATTACAGCTGCATCCATACATTTTCTTCAAAATACTGCCAACTATTTCCAAAGAAAGGCAGGAATTCTCATGCACTGTATTCTCTGTAGCCTGCGTACTTTGTTACAGCCATCACAGAAATAATCTTTTGCTTCTAGGACTTTTATCTGACCATGATGGATCAACAAAAACACTTCAGACCAGACATCCAAGCACAGGCAAAGCCCCCAAGGATGAATAAGCCCAGAAGAGAGCCACCTGTGGTGGAATACATTTATGAAAATCATCCTCCCTTTCACTGAGAGAAAAGCACCAAACAGTGGCTGTTTGGCTGTGTGGGAAAGAACCTCTTTCGAATTATGCCTCTGAGATATGGAAGCAAAATGAGATTCCCCCCATTTCGAAAGTAACAAAGTGCTGTGGGAGAGGTGGTCTTGCTGTTCTCCTGAATTTAATTTATTTTAATAAAGAACATCTAAATCCTTGTAGTGATAGTAGAGTGGACAACTAGAGTGTTTGCTGGAATCCCCATCGGTCAGGTTCTTGAGCTCCTCACAACTGCCTGGGAAAACATGAATGAACCCTTGTTTTCATTTTACAGAAGGAGACGAGACTGTAAATGAGGTGAAGTGATAAGCCCAAGAAAACTGGAGGGAGTGAAGTTCCAGCTGCTGACTTTAGCTCCAGGGTTGGCAATTTCCCTTAGTTCTCGGCTTACCCACAGTGGTGTCTCACTCACACTATTTTCTCTGTGCCCCTACAAGAGGTATTTCAGCTGGGAGGTGAAGTAGGAATGTTTATTCTCCTATGATTTCAGTAAGAGACACCGTTCAGAGAAATGGTCTCCTCTGCAGCCCCATCTTGATTCATGTGAGGATGCTGGGTGGCCACGGTGACAGGCAGGGTTGTGTTGGAAAATGCTTTGGGAAGAAAGAGGAGCCATAGGGAAGATGCACCCTGCCTGTGGAAAGGCTGGGCCATGGAGTACCCTAGGAATGAGAGGGGCACCCAGGCGGAGGCAGAGGTCCCACCAAAGGGGCACAGCATTGAAAGTAGCCAGAGCTTCAGCCCGTGAATGGAGGAGTGCTGTCATCCTAGAGTGTACTGGGTCTGGCTGGAATGTTAACTTTCCCGGCAGCAGCCCATACAGTGCCGTACTCTGTACTTGTAGCTGGAAGAGCAGTGTTATCACACCAGTGTTGTGTCTACTGCTGAGCAGCAGTGGCACAGCATTGGGCCTCTCTCTAACCCTCCTAGGGGGTGGGCCAAAAGGGAGGAGAGAAACATCACTAGGGCAGCTGACCTAAACCAGTCAAAGGGATATTCCATAGCATGTGATGTCACACTCAGCAATAAAAGGTGGAAACAGGAAGAAGAGGGGAGGGCTCTCGTTGAGAAAACGCCGGTCCTCCTCTTGAACACTGGCTGCGTGCGTTGAGGCCTTGCTTCAAGGACGTGGTCAATCATCGCTCATTTGTGGGAAGTAGAGAGTAATTTCTTTCCTCTGCACTTCCATATAGCCTTCATTTATTTTGTTTGTTTGTTTTCCTCCCTTCTTTTTATTTTTCCTTTTCCCCTCCCTTTTCCCCTTTCCCTTTTTATTTCCCCTTAGTTAAATTGCTTAGTTCATGGTAGTCTTTATTTAATTGTAATTATTATTTCCCTTTAATTAAATTATCCTTATCTCAACCCGTGAGTTGTTCTTTGCTTTACTTCTCCCCCTCCTCATCTAAAGGAGGGGGAGTGAGAGAGTGGTTGTGGGGTTCAGCTGCCCAGCACGGTAAAACCACCACAAAGAGGGTTGCTGCTGCTGTTCTTCTGCGGGCTGCAGGGCTGGCAGGGTTCCTTGCAGGCAGCAGCAGCAATCTGGTGCTGAAGCAGGCAGGGGTTTTCGCCCTGGGAAGGTCAGCTCTTCTGGCAGCGCCGTGGCCACAGGCACTGTGACCTGCTCTGCAGTCGAGCAGTTGCTGCGGGGACAGCCCCAACCCAAAGAAAGCAGCAGCTCAAGGCCTCATAAATAGATTTTTCTTTATTGGGCTGTTAATGTACACGTACCATACTGTCCATCAGCAGAGCATGCTGCCCTCAGTGGGACACGTGCTGCAGGTCGTGGGCAGCCACAGGAGCCCTGTTTGTAAGCAATTTGGCTGTTCAGTGGGACTTCTGCACCTTCAGTGAGCACACACAGTGTCAGTGGTTTGAAGAGCCTGGGACTCTGGGAGCGATCTTCCTGGAGGTGTTGTGTAGGTGAGCCAATACTCCTGTCATTGGATTTAGTAGAGGCGTAGAGATAGAGAGGACTAGATGGGCTAGGGAACACCGCACAGAGGTTTCGTGCCCTTCAGCGGGGAAGAGCACAGAGCTGGTAAGAGGGAGGAACGTTTCCTAATCCACTCAGTGTAGGGGTTATGCTGAGCTCCTCAGGCTTGAGGACAGCCTTCAAGGTGAAGTTCTGCAAGATGGTGGTCAGGAACAAGAATATTTCCATGCGTGCCAGGCCCTCTCCAGGGCATATTCGCTTCCCTAGAAGTAAAGACAACAAATAGCGCTGAGCAGGTGCTGCTGTGTGGGTTGGAGTTTGTGCTAGGCCTACGTGCTATGCAGCTTTGTTTACTAGGTGCAGCTAGTAAATAGCAGCAGGGAGGTGACTGACTGGGTGTGTGAAAGAAGAACAGGAGAAGCCTGGAGGGTGGAGGAGGCATCACGTGGAGAGGTCGAGAGAGTGAGGTGACACAGCGTGGGTGAGAAAGAGGGTTGGGGCTGTTGGTAGGTGAGTGGTTGCGAGTAGCCTACTTAAAGGTGCCCAGAAAGAGTGGCAGCTCCCAGTAGGAGTTCTAAAAAGCCCCCAAAAGAGAGGGCTGATGTGGGTGGGAAGGAACAGCAGAGAGGACGTACACAGAGAGCAGCGAGCCCCGGAGAAGTAGTGGCAGGACCACCCGGGGAGCAGGTGTCATGGGAAAAAGCAGGGTGGTTCCCCCAGGGGAGGACAGCAGCTCCTGGGAGAGGAAGCCTGTGTGTTACCTGCTGAGAAGGGCATGAAGAGTTCACTCTTCCTAAAGGTGCCGTTCTCGTTCAAGAAGTGTCCAGGATTAAACTCATGTGGGTTTGGGAACTCCTTGCTGTTATACAGCACAGAACTGAGGACGGGGAAGATCGTGGTGCCCTGCAGTAAGACAAGAAGAGCAGAAGTGAAGGGGAGGTGACTTAGGTCACTTAACCCAACTGCCTGTCAAGTTAAGGCTGAGCTGACTGGTGCAATCCTCTCAGAGCCTTCAGTGGCCCTTTGGGGACTCTCCCTTTGGAGAGGCACATTTAGGGAGGCCCTGCTAGATGTTACAGCATAGACAGTTGTTCTGGCTGCCCCTCCTGTGTTCCCTTTCTGTTTCAGCCCATTTATCCTCTCCTTTCTCTGGTTGTTTGGGGACACCCCACCTAATTCTTCTTTCTTGGTGTTTCACTATAATGAACTTGTAGATGTACAATGTTCCTTCTTTTGTGTGAGCCCTGAAAAGCACACAAGATTGTAGCTCTCTTCTCTTCTGACAATTTTTTCCTGCCTCCATCCTCTTTCTTCTTACTTTCTGAGCAGCCCCTGACTGGGGAACAGGATAAATGATCGAGAAGCGATGACAAAAGAGCACTCTGCTAGAAGCTGGACTCTGCTAGTTCCCTGGGTGCTGTCTTGATTTTACGCTGACAGATGAAAATTGTGACGCCAACAGGCCCCATGTTGCTGTTCCCCCAGTGTTTGTGGTCCCTCAGAAGATGGGAAGTAACATGAGCATCACTGCAGTGGTCCAGGCCAAACCAGGCCATGGGCTGCCCTAGCCTATCAGGCTGTCTCTGGGAGTGGCCAACAATGATTGCCTCAGTAAGCGTGTAAGAACAGAGCAAACAGGTTGTGTTCATTCATCTGAATGTAAATACAGTTTCCATCACGTTTTGCCTTGGGGTCTCTTTGCTCTCAATAACCACAGACTGACTCTGCCTCCAAGGAGATGCCCAGGCTCCCCCAGATGGCAGTGAGCAGTTCCCCAGCTTTGCTGCCTTTGCGAGGAGACACTGCTCTGTTTTTTTGTGAGCTCAGCATGTTTCTACTGACAGGTCAACCCACAGAGCAAGTGAGCAGAGGTGTTGGGCAGACCTAGTGTTCCAGTCTCAGCCCAGGGGACAGCAACAAGAATTGCAGGTATGCTACAGCAGCCTGGGGATCTGAGGAAAACTCTATGAAGGCCCAGGTGCTGACATGGTCAGGTCACAGCATTTCTAGCTTCTGGCTTGTAACCGACAGCCTGAGAGCAAGCATGCTGCCACCTTGTTGCTGGACTTGAGGGAGCTTGCCCACTAACCTTGGGAATGAAATGCTCTCTGAAGTAGATGTCTTTGGTCACAGCATGAGGGACGCTCAAGGGGATGAGGGTGATAAAGCGCTGGATTTCATGGGCCACTGCATCTGTGTAGGGCATCTGTGTCCGGTCAGCCACACAAGGTCTTCGTGATCGTCCTACGACCCGGTCAATCTCTTCTTGAACTTTCTCTGTCAAGAGAAGCACAAACCATAAGATGGGTGAATAAAGCCAAACCCACCCAAACAGCTTGTCCTAAGCTGTCCACAAACCTCATGGATTTGCTAGCAAATGATGGGAGCAGTTATATTGATTTTGGTGCTGTCTGGAAAGCAACTCCACTGCAGCCTGTGCAAACAATGCCCTTATAACAAACTTGGCTAAATAGGAGTACCGAGAGAGAAAGATGTGGACACAGCCAAATCCCTCGCTGATGAGGGGATGCATTTGCTGTTGATGGCCAGTGAAGCTGAGGGATGTGTAATGGCCCTTGAGGGGTATGAGCATACAAGGACTTTGCCCATTTAGGTAGAATATGAGAGAAGAAAAGTTGAAAAGGCAGTAGCATTGGATCTGTGTCCAGCCCAAGGGAATGGCTAGAGGAGAAGAGATCATAGAGTGGTACCTTGTATATGCGGGTATTTGAGAAGAAGCAGAAACCCATATTTTAAGGTGGTGCTAGTTGTCTCAGTTCCACCAATGAACAAGTCAAAGACTGTGGTTATCAGGTTCTTCAAGTGGAAGCTGGAATTGGGATTGTCTTTTTCCTAGAGAAAACGCTGGGTTATTTCTCTGGTTGAACTGAGAAAAGGGCCCTTTCTTGTGTCATCCTGGGCCCTACTTTCCACCCAGAGCTGTTGCATTTCTCTGAGAAGGTGCGGCAGCCATGTGGCACATTGCAATGCTATCTCTGTGCAGTAAGCAAGACCCCAGAGCAGCCTTCTTTGAACTGCACACTGTATGTTAGGTATATAGCCGTCTGCTTGCCCTTGCTGTGCCAACTGCTTTCCAGTGCAAGAGCTGCAAGACCAGCCTGCAGATGCCCCTGTGTTTTGCTGCAAGCAGTTGTAGGTCTTGGTGTCCAAGCAGCTGTGGGTAATGAATGCAGAGTGTGCAGACCACTAGCTCTAAGGGGTGTTGTCACATCAACCCATCACATCAGGGGTGTTGTCAGTGCCTTTCCACTTGCACAGATCAGTTGCTTGTGTTCAGCCCTCACAAGGGGATATCCCAATATTTGTATTAGTTAGGAAAGGAAAGGGTGTTTGGGGATGAGCTGGGGCTGTGTGCTCTCTCCTTACCTCCTGCATTTTGCTGAGAAAGCAGTCAATGAAATCCTGAGGAGAGCTGGGATCCAGGTAGGCTTGGTGCGTCTTCACTTCCTCTGCTACAAAGGCTTTTACAGCATCAATTTCTTTGAATATTCTGTTGTGTGGGCCAGGGAAGTAATCCAGGATCTCTGGGAACATCTGGTATAGCTGGAAGGAAAGAAAGAGGAGGTCTTAGTAGAATTCTCAGAAGTGGAGAAAAAGAGTGGTTAGGACTAGGGAGAAGCTACACTGAGCTGGCAAAACCAGCTGCACGTGCAAGGGTGTTTCTTGCTCTTGAGCAGCAGAACATTGATGGGTCCTGGTTTGAAGGTTGAAGTGAGACTTCGTTGGGAGGGAAGCCTCCTGCTCCCCTGGGGGAATGTCACCACTGTGAACTAGTTGCTGAAGGTACCTGTCCCCAGCGGGAGCTGAGCATCTCAAAGATGTTGTTCATGTTGTTCATCAGAGACAGGAACTTCTTGTCTTTATAGTCATATCGTTTCCCAAAGATAATGGAGCATATGACATTGGAGACGGTGCAGCTCAGCATAAATGTTGGGTCGAAGGGCATTTCTGTGAGTTCAGAAAAGTTATAAGCCATTAAGAAAGAAATCACAAAAAAAGGCAAAACCTAAAAACCTACAGCTACCGTGGGTAACCTGACCTCTGGTGGTTAGTGGAAACTCACAGGTTAGTGGAAACTCACAGTGCTTTGTAACGAGGGGCAGCTGTTGCAAAGACCAAATGCATGGGAACATCAATTCACAGAATCACAAAATGGTTGGCAAACCTCTGGAAATCATCTTGTCCAGCCCCTTCTAGAACCACTTGCCCAGGACCATGTCCAGACACCTTCTGAATACCTCTAAGGATGGAGACTCCAGAGCTTATCCTTAAGAACGTGGGCTCCCTAAATGCAGTCTTTTTTTTTTTTTTTAATAAACTATATTAAAAATAGGCTATACTCTTTGTTTTTCTGAGCTCTTCAAGCAAGTGCTCGGCTTCCTCTTGGATCCTCTCTTCAATGCTCCTCTTCCCCATCCCAAAGTTGCGCAGAGTGCTGAGAGCAAACCGACGGACATGTAGCCACCCCTCGTTGTTGCTGAAAATAATGCCTGCAGAGGAAAAAGAAAGAGCGAAGACCTGACTTTGGTGCGCTGGATGTAAGATAAATGGAGACTCATGATGACAGTGAATCCTAGCCCTGTAGATAGCAATGACATAGCATCTCAGAGTACTGTGGTCTGGAGACAACCTCTGGAGGTCCCGCAGTCCAGCTGCCTGCTTTTGGCCTTCTCCAGCACATCCCCAACCTCCTTGCGAACAATTCATCCCTCACATCCACACAGAACTTCCTGTGCTGCAGCCTGAGGCTGTTGCTGCTTGCCTTTCCACTGTGCATCAGTGAGATAAATCGAGCCCCATTTCTTAGAAATCCTCTTTGGGTGGTGGAAGCCAGCAGTTGCAGGCTGCCCTGCCTGCCGTTCTGCAGGTGGGACCCCCCCACATCACTCAGTCTGTCCTTGTGCATGGGATGTCCCATGCATACCCTGCCACATACCCTGCATACCCTGGGATGTCCCATGCATACCCTGTCCTCAGCCCTTCCCTTAGCCTCAGGAGGAGCTCAGTCAGTGAACATACCTAATCCTTCGTTAGCCCGGTCTCCCAGTGGCATCCTTCCTCTGGCAGCAAACTCATCCCCACGATCAATCAAGGCTTCTTTTACCACGTCATGTCCACACAGCACCACCACTGGATCAGTGCCCAGGTGCACTGTGAAAACTGGCCCATACTCTTCGCTGAGCTGTCAAAATGCAAGAGAGAACTCAGCCATGTAGAGAGGAGGAGTTGAAAAGTGACCACACCGCTGCATTGTTCTGCGGGCAGTGCAGCCTCACAGACCAACAGGGTTAAGATCTGGTCCTCTTATGGCAAATGTCAGTCAGCCATCAGATCCTAAGCAAGGGTGAGAGCGGGGGGGAGAGGGGACGACGACAGCTGAGATCCCCATGGCTTTTCTGCTCCTCCGGGGTTGGCAGTCATCAGGTTATAGCCACATGTTGTCCCCATGCACAGAGCACACACACTTCTCACCCCCAGAAGAAACCGAGGGGAAAAAGAGAGTCCTTACCTTCTCAAGGGTTTTGGCTAAGTCCTTTGGTTTCACCTGGAGCAGATTCCCTAGGATGGGAAGAGGAGCTGGTCCTGGAGGCATCTTCCCCTTTCCAGACCTGATTTTCCATCTTGCGACGTTGAGCAGGCAAACAACACAAACCAGGAGGACAACAGATGCTGCCCCCAGCAGCTCCATATTCCAGGTAGAGGAGAGCTTAAGAGGCTAAGGAGGAATTGAGTTGGGCTGCCAAGCCTGAGCTTATATACTGAAGAGCTCTGCTCTGTTAGGTCAACATCACGTTTTTGATCACGTGGCTGAGTTATCCAATGTTACTAGTCAATCGTTTGAGACTGCCGTGTTGCGAAACCAGGACTGAACTTCTCCAAAGTTAATTGGTCATTAACAACACACCTCCTCTCAAGCAACTGCAGAGGCCAACAGAGATTAAGTTAAAAATGTGCTCATAAGACTTGATTTGTTTCACTTAAACTTCATTGTTATGGAGATAATAGTATGGGCTGGGCGTTCCACTTGAGGTGCTCCCAGAAATTTGCTGTTATGAGAGCACCTTCCGCGTACCTCGGTGCCGTGTGGGTTTCCCATTCTTCAGCATTGTTTGCGTTAGTTCTCAGTGGGGACAGCCATCCCTGCTTGTTCCTGAAGGCTTCCTGGTGCTAGCAGGGGAGGTCACACTGCAGGCAGCGTGCTGAACACACGGATGTGTTGTCTTGTGATCAAAGTAAGTGCCTCAGTTTCTCTCCCTAGGGGATGGTATGGCCTCACAAGAGAGGAAGGTATAACATATCCACCTAGCACAGGCAGAAAGATCTCCGGGCATGGTGATAGACAACAAAGGGCCTGCTAGAAGAGAGACGTATGAAAAGGGACCTTGAGACTCTGACCTCTTCAAGCTTTTGTAAAGGAAAGAGGGAGATGAGGAGGTAGAGAAGAGAGTAATCAAGAACTTGAGAGGGCTTCTAGGGAATGGGTTCCCAGGCTGAGAAGGAGCTGAACTTGTGAGAGACTGAGTAAAGGTTAGTGCAAACTGAGAAACAGTTTGCAGTTGCAAAGACAAAAACGCCCACCCAACCTACTTCTGGAACATGGCATCATCAAAATAAGTTATTCTTTTGTTAATGTTTGATGGGTGCACCCTCAGCAAGTCTGTGGCTGATGCCAGCTGAGTGGTGCAGTGGAAACTCTAGAGGGAAGGGATGCCACCCAGAGGGACACTGACATAGAGAGGTGGGCCCATGTAAATCTTGGGAAGTTCAACAAGGCCAAGTGCAAGGTCCTGCGCCTGGGCTGGGGCAATTCCAAACACCAGAGCAGACTAGGTGGTGAACAGGTTGAGAACAGACCTTTGGAGAATGACTTGCAGGTACTGGTGTATGAAAATCTCAATGTGAGCTGGCAGTGTGCACTTGCAGCACAGAAATCCAGTCATCTCCTGGGCTGTCACAGGAAATGTGGCCAATAGGTGAAGGGAGGCAATTCTCCCTCTCTATTCTGCACTCGTGACACCCCCCATGGAGTACTGCATTCAGCCCTGGGGGCTCCAGCGCAAGGGAGACATGGACCTGTTGGAGTGGGACCAGAGCAGAGCCACGGGGATGATCAGAGGGCTGGAGCACCTCTCCTAGGAAGATTTGGGGTTACTTAACCTAAAGTAGAGAAGGTTCCAGGGATGCCTTATAGTGACCTTCCAGTACTTAAAGGAGGTTGGGTCACAAGCAAGACGGAGAGAAACTCTTTACCAGGGTGTGCAGCAGTAGTACAAGAGGTAATGGTTTCAAATTAAAAGATTTAGAGTAGATCTAAGGAAGAAATTCCTCATGATGAAGGTGGTTGGATAGTGGAACAGGCTGCCCAGAAAATCTGTGACTCTTGCAAGCTGACAGATCTCATCCAACGAGGTTAGGGGATGGGTGACTTGGTGGGAATTAGCTGAGGGCCTGGGTGAACTGGATGCTTGGTTGGAGTGTGCTGGGTTTGCGGTGCAGCAGCACATTCATGTGAGTTTTGCCTTCACTCAGAGATGCTAGTGAAGGTCTCCACCCCCTGCAAAAATTTCAATAGCTTACCTATGAGTTTTTAAGTCACCCTTGCTCTCTAACATAGGTGCAATAATTTGCTTATCTTTCTAAAATGTTTTAATATTTTTATCTTTACTTGTTTTTCTTTTTTAAACTCTTTTCACTTCTTATAGACTGGTATCTGATTATTGCCAATAAGTTCAAGCTAGTTTGTGATCTTCTGATCTCATCTGCTGTATCAGCTCAGGCCTTGCCAGGGCAGTTCATGGAAGTTTATGTGTGTCTAAGGACGTCTAGCCAGTGACAGTGGAGTTCACGGGAGTTCGCCCTGCTGCATGTGGCCTCTCTGCTGCTAGTTCATGACTCCGTCACCTTTTCTGTAAAGTTCTTCTGTTCCTGGGAGGAAGGGTTCATTTCTCAGTTCTGCCTCACAGTTTGTATATTTTAGGCAAAATATTCCCCAGCAGAAATATTTTCAAGGTTTCTCTCTCTCTCTTTCTCTCTCTTTTATTTTTAATCAAGATGAAATCAGTGTATTCCAAATATCCCCACCCCCAGCAGACACACTGAGGATTTACAAGGCAGGAAAACTCAGACAATTAGTCACACCGACCTTTGCCCGAGGGAAGCCATGGGCATTTTCATGTCATCCAAGTGACACTATTTTCTGGGTGCTTGCTTCTACTTGCAGAAGCCATGAGTACGCAGGGCTGGTTGTTCCTCTCCATCCATGTGAAAGTGCAGGGAAGCCAAGCTCAAAGCCCCTCCCTCCATCTTCTCCAGGAACTTTGTCTTAAATCCTTTGGTGGCAGGCATTTGGGATTTTCAAATAAAGGGCTAACAGTGTCATAGCTTTGCCTCTTCTTTCTAAAATAAAGCTTAAGCTTGAAGAAAATAGCATAACTGTGCAGATTCTCTTGCAGGCTTGGTGTCTGCTCCTTTTCTTCTTGGACCTTGGTTCAGAAGGTGACACTGCCAGTGCCACCTCTGCCCACTATGCAGCCAGCACTCCTCTTCCACAGGATGCTCCGTGTGGATATCCCTGCTGTCTGCAGATGCCTTTTGGCTTCTGGGGGCAGTGTGTCAACTGTGGTACACCTCTGTGAACAGCTGATCTGCACAATGCTGCAGGCTGTAGCCTTGGCTCTCATCTTCCAAGAGGTTGGGTGGACAGTCTTTTATTTAGTGTGAAGGTGAGGAGATCATATCTGGGGTTTGGCATCTCAAGCTGAGGGGATATGGCAGTGCTGAGTACCCCTCCATCAACTGGCACTAGAGTCCCAAAGGTCCAAAGGCTCGCTTTTGGGGAGCCAAAACTGGGGAAGGGAACTTAACTGAAACTGTTCTCAGCACAGGTATTGCTGTGGTGAGTCGACAGCACTCCAGCTGTTTTTTCAAATAGAGTTTTCTTCAAGTACCTGTAAATATTTTTCCTATTGGCATAAACAAACAATTGGCGAGTTAAAATTTAATGAAAACTGTCTCTTTAACTCCAAAGTACTTTATTTATTTGTTTTCGTTATCCTAATTATCAGCAAATAATCCAGTCGAGTACACCATTCAGGTGTTCACAGTGGCTGTGAGACTTGGGCAAGGTTTCTTGGCACACCTCTCCATATGACATCAGTTTCTACAGAGATCACAGGCTTATACAGCAGTCCACATTAGAAGGGACTTTGAAAGATCATCTGGACCAGCCTTTTGTGGAAAAGGGTGCTAGCTGAGGTTGAAGCTTCCCTCCCTGCCAAAGTCCAAATGTTTTCCCCAGTGCCTCTCCACCACGGCTGCCCAGTGCCCAGGAGGTGCTGGGGAGGGCATGAGTAGTTCATGAGGGCTGCTCAAAAGCAGGCAGCCTGTCAGGATCCATTCCCTCAATCCCAGCTGTGCAAAGCTGCTGAGAAGGTCTTGTGCTTTGTGGAGCAGTACTTTTAGTCCGAGAGCAGAAGGGCTGACACGTTGCAAGGGAAAGACTGTATGTGCGAGGGTGTGAGATGCATTGCAGTTATGGGCAGGCAGTGGGTACTGGCAGGCAAAATGTTCCCTGGGATCACGGAGGTTCACCCTTATCTGTGTTTCTGGGCCATTTTAGGCTTCCCAAAGGAAACCAGTCAGCTTCTGAGGGTCAATGTCCCACAGAGTGTATGGGCCTGCCACCCAACAGCCTGCCCTGGAACAGTCCTGCAGCTATCCCCACACAAGCTGCACTGCAAAGAGGGCTGCAGTCCAGAGTTGGGAGTATTCAAGGGCATCGACTCTTTTTGCTTGTGCAAAGCTCCCTGAGCTTCCTAGTTTTCCAGAGGTTTCATGTGGAGCATTGTTCTGTGCTTCCATGTCAGCACCCTGTGTCTAGCATTTGAAGCAGTGGCACCTTTAAAAGAGAAAAAGAGCATTGACACTTGGCTTTTTGCACTTCTGTGGTGTAATAAGTAATCAAAGCAGCAGTAGGGTCCATGGGGAAAAGAAGGTACATCTCCTGGATGGGCACATCTCCTGGATTCTTCTGGTGATGGGAAGAAGTCAGAAAAGGGTCAGAAAAGGAGTTTGAAGGCTCTTCTGAGGCTCCAGAGTAAATTGCACAGATGAGCCACGCTCAGCTCTGTGATGTGAACGCAAACACATCTCTTGACATTAGCTCAGCTCCTACCTGTTGGTTTGCTGGAAGGGATGCAAACAGCCTGTGACCAATTCAGAGCCAGGTGAGAGCAATAGAAGGTGTTAAACTGCTGGGCTGGGTCCACCTGGACACGCCAGGAATTGGTGGTCCCAGCTGGCTCCACAACTTAAAAGGCCAGACTAGGAGCAGGTGCTTCATGGTCCTCAGCAGGAGAGCAGGATGGGTGTTGTAGGGCAGGCTAGGCCTGTGTGTGGAGCTCTGTTCTTCTGGGGGTTGCTTGGTCCCTTTGCTTTGGTTGTGGGGTCTCAGGGTAGCTTTCTTGATGAACCTGGCCTGCTGGCTTGTGGTCAAGATAGCTTGCAGCTCACCTTACCCGTGGGCTGGGAAGGGAATGTTTCCTTTGTGCTGACTGCTTGGGGTAAGTGAGAGCGATGTCAAGGGGCCTTCTGGCTGCTGCTGTCTTTACACAGTGCAGAGGTATGGCTGGAATGAGAAGAGGAGGGCTGGCTATGATGTGAAGTGCTAACAGCTTCGGTGCTTTGTGCGTGACTTGGCAGCTGATGATAAGACCCAGCCCTCATGGGCAAGGTTTAGGTGG